AATGGAAACGTCAGCTCAACTCATATCCTTGTGGGAAAATTCTTCTTCTACCAGTCCTTCATCACCTTAAGCGAAATTGGGTGAAACATCTCATATTACTGATTTACTGGTAGTCACTAAAACAATACTTAATTCGAAAAATAAAAAAATATAGAGCAACAAGAAATAAATCACTCACCTTGAATTTTCAAATCAGCGGGCTAGTTTAATCTGAAGACACATGTTAATGGGATAAGGGAGTTCCTTAGTTTTGGGGTTATAAAGGCACTCAAAGCGTGGAGAATTCATTGCTATTCATAATTGCCTTAAAACTCTCAGCATACCTACCTCATTAATTAGATGTAGTTTTCATTTGACAAGCACAGTGATGCAATCCTTTTTTACTTGAAAATCCTTCAATATTTCCTTAAGTAGATCAGGTCTCATAGATTTTTAGCAAATCAACAATAATAATGACCAAAGTAATAAGCCGTTACTAACTATTTAAATAGAAAACCTAGCTTAGGTAATCATATTTTCATCATTTCTTGGATTTCTCTTGACGGCAAACCTTTTGAGTTTAATCGAAGGTATGAAGACCAAGATGGTGTGGCCTTTTGTATTGTCGCAGACTCCTTTCGTTGTATAAAAGTTGTTTGACCTTGTTTTCGCAACTTGGTCATATTGGTAGGAAGACATAGACCACGTCCACGGCCCTACTCTGGAAATGATGATGCATACAATGGACTCCGGACTGGGTGCGTTACTCTGAGTCTTCCTACCAATATGACCAAGTTGCAAAAACAAGTTCAAACAACTTCTTTTGAGTTTAATTTAAATTTTAGGTAGCGTTCATAGTGCGGTGTTGATGAAAAAGTCTCCCACAATTGCAGATGGAAGATAATTACGACTTATGGAGGGAAAATGAATGAGGCGATCTCAAATGATTGGCCAGAAAGATTTTTAGAGCCAGAGATCAGCCCCACGATGCTTTCAATGATACCAGTCAACAGGCATTTTATTCGCAAAATGAAAATAAAATGATTCTAAAATTTTATGCACAGCATCATTTAAGAATTATCTACTGTTAACATATCAGGGAGAATTGGGTTTATCCGATAGGAGAAAAAAATATACCCTGGTTTGCAGAGTAACCGTAATGTTTCACTTGTCAATCAATCAGTCAGCTGTGAGAAGATAACAAAGCTTCCCGGAGGAGTGATAAAAGGCAATTTAGAAATGTTCAAATACACACTTAAGGTACGACTTGAATTGAGCGGAAAGAATGAGCCAGTATAGGAGGCTTAAGAATCTCGAAAGATATTGAGATATAATTTTACGGAAGAGACTATGAAATAGTTGAAAATATATTAAGTAAGTTTGACCCTTTAGTCTAAATAGGCTGGATTAATGATTATGCTCATCCGCGTAGTTGATTAATTTTTATAAATGGAGGCCACATTCTATGCTCTTCTGAAGAAATGAAAACAGTACTGTACTATATATTAAAACAAACCAAAACAATATTTATAATGTTGGTCTGGCACCATTTTCGCAACTTGGTTGGGGAAACAGGGAGATATCGTGGGACCTACCTAGTTCTGCGTCCTCTGCAATAGCATTTATGATTTCCAGCATCGAACGGTTGACTTTGGAACGTACCAGGGCAACGGTCCGATATTATTGCAGAGAACACAGGACTTGATACATCCATAATTTTTTACCGGAGGGTGGTAGAACAAGATTGTGTAGTCTTTATTTTGGTCACTGTATTCTTTTGTTGCATATAAATGATACGACCTTGTTTCGAAGAACGCATCCCGCATCTGAACTAGTCGGAATCAGACATTTGACTTGGTACATTCCAGTGTCTCTAAAGAATTGCAACTCGTCACTAAGGGTGGCATTGATGAGGCCGACTTTGAACTATATCAAGCCAACGGTCCGATGCTGGAAGTAATAATGACGGAGTAACGACATGTTCGTCTAGGTATCACTGACGCCACGCCTTGGTTGCGAAGACAGGGTCAAGCAATTCTCAATTTTTACACTTTAAACAGAAAGATTAAGAATCATAGAAAGAAATGACGAAAATTGCACCGATTCGTAAGAATAAAAGAATGATTTGGCCTTAATCTGCATGAAGAACGTCTCGGCGTCGGTATCCCAAATGCATAGCACATTCAAATAACTTAGACTTAAGGACCTAACAAATAGAGTATATATAAAAATGGAACCTACCTGACAGATAACTGGTGCTATAACATCCCCCGGCTCCTATTACCATAGCTTGTTGTTTTCGTACTCGACTTCCCGGCTGATTACCTGGCGAAGCCCGCCAAGCTGCTCCAAGGCTGTCCGGCGTGGTTGAGGATTCTGTAAGGCTAGCACCACTGGGCCAGACCACTGAAACAGCGGGGGGCAGTAGTGGAGGCAGATGGCCCTGGTGGCGGCGAAAGGCAATTGAAGGTGATAAAACGGAAGTTATGGCTGGCGTGGCATGAAGCTCAGAGGATGTATGACACGGTATCTGGCCGCAAACGGCCCCCTTAGGCCGCTTCAGCGAAAGGGCACCTTGATTGGTAGCAGAAACCGAAGCAACTACTACGGCTGATGTGGCAGAGAGTGCAGCCCTCATGGTCGTGCAGACATCTATTTGAGTCGCACATTCGGCCATTTGATAATCAGCTAAATGGGTTGCTAGGGCATGAGTCGACGGCTGCCTTGAATTGCTTGGTAAAATTCCTGGATCAATCGGGGACTCCTGTTGGCTGGACGTGTCGGCTACCATGACCTGACGAGTTAGGTTTGATGTGGCAGAACGATAACCACAACCAGTGTTACTGGCAGTATGCGTATCTGTCTCACTAGGCAGGCAGCAAAGGCAGCAAGAGGTCGAAAGCCACCGACGCAGCATCAGGCTGGTTCCCGTAAATCCATCCACTATGCCAGACATCTCGCCACCACCAACATTACCTCGTCTATCAGTTACATCACCATTGTCAACAGCTCCTCTTCCTGGCCTCGCACCTCCGTGAATACCACTGATTTCATCGGCATCTTCACCTTCTTTACTCTTATGGACATGACTTCCGGATAGCTCGTGATTGCCTCTTCCTACTTGGCCAAGACCGACTTTATTGCTGCAATCTGCGTGATCATCTCCTCGGCCTGTCCACTCATCAGTGTCTCTGCTCTTACCGTTGCGCATGGTTTCCTCGGATGGCTGACGATGGCGTCGGTGATGCTGGTCGATGCCAAGCGAAACCGGAGAGTCGGAAAGGGAAGAGGTTGGAGAGATGGTGGAGGAAAGTGAAGAGGGAGAGGAGGAGCGCAAAGCAGAGCGTGGGATTGATGACAATGAGCCGTAACTGAGCTCCAGAGGCAGATCGAGCGCCGTGACAGCGGCATCGGTGGCAATAGGGCAGTTAGCATTAGACTGACCTGCAAAATGTAGAGGAGTTGGATTGACCACCGGTACAGATGTTTTCAACGAGACAATGTCAGAGCTAACAAGCTCTTTGCCAGAGCCAAGGAAAATAGTGCTCCTAGTTCTTGCGGCTTCTGAAATCCTTACACCGGACTCAAGCGATCCATCTTTTGCATGAGATTCATGGTGCCAGTAATTAAGACACCAGAGTACCTAAAGAGTAAACCAAAGAAAAAAATGTATGAATTGGCTGAAATTGAGGCCATCAAGGAAATCTCATTAGAAAGGA